CCTGGCGAGATGGTCTTAAACCACTGGACCGGATATTCATTCGCACACGCACACTTGCGCACACGCACGCGAGTCCACGCACATGCCCAACTAGTCACAGTTCCCCTGAAGCCACTTAGGCGCACCACGTAGCAAGTGACTTCAATACTCGACACCCCTCGATCAATCCACGCGCCAATCATGCAGCACTTTAACTCGCTCCACAATCACTCATAAGCAACTGTCACATTGTCACACAGGGACTTGCAGACACTGTCAGACGTGACTGGATGCAGCCCACGGCCACTGCTACCAGAAACAGCAACTCCGGATTCTGTAAACAATAAAACCCTCATTCGGGTGGCTTCTACTTTTACGCGCTTGTTGTTGTGTTCTTCCTTGGGGATTCAAACGGGGTGGAAGTAGACGGTGACACCACACGACATGTCACCGTTCCAACAAATATGCATCCCCATGAGAGAATTTCAGGAAGGGAACTTAACGCGTAATGACTACCAAACAAGTCTGATACGGGATAGACAGAGAGAGTCAAAGTACGCTAAACAACCTCTTCTGGTAGAAGAAGTCTCAGGTAGGAATGCAACACCTAGACAGTAGAGTTCAGCATGACAAAACGGCATCAAAGTCCGCGACAATGAGCAAACCGTGAAAGAAACAATGACTATGCATTTCCGTTTTCTCTCCTATTTAGCCCGGAATTGTCGCTCTTCAGTCTGGAAGATAGCCAGCTGTTTGAGAGCCCCTACTATTTCATAGTAGAGGTAGTTCCCTTCAGAAAGCATATCGATGTCTATGCTCCGTAAATATTCCCATGGTTAATATTAAAAGTCAGTTTATAGCAAACATAGTCCGCGGTGGCCAATCAACGCTCATGTTATACAGTTATTGATTTTTCTACATATTCAAACTTTATTTGTTATGTACAGCGTTCATTTCCCTTGCAAACGTTTGGCCTGATGACGAGTTGTTGAAAACAAGTGTTTGTCATAAACTGACTTTTAAGATGTCGATGCTTTTATTTGTGGATAGGTAACTTATGGACACCGACGAACTAGCACAAGGAGAGTCTGCTATTCAGTTATGTTGTTTACATACATACTGAACCTCGCTTATAAACGTTCACCTGACCGCTAACGGAACTCATCTGTTCCGTTCTGCCTTAGGACCCGCCAGAGGCCCTGACAGCCTTAGCAGCTGGTAGTAGGCAGATAGTGTTGTCAGCGAAGACAAGGGAGACCGGAACGGCCATTTCTGGCTTACTAGCCGTCGTCAGCCGGTCGTGCCCAGACCCAAGTGGTGCACCACCAATCCGAGTCGAACGCCCTATCCATTGAGCCACGAGCTCGTTGTCTCGCCGGTTTAGGTCAGGGTATGTTGACACTAGTTGATGAACGTTCACCCGACCGCTAACGAAACTCATCTGGTCAGGAGTTTGAGGCTCGGGTGCGACAGCACTTGGGTCCGGGTATGACTGGCTGACGATAGCTCATAAGCCAGAAATGGGCGTTCCGGTCTCTGTTGTCTCCCTTATCTGCCTATATTACCAGCTGCTACGGCTGTGAGGGCCTCTGTTGACACCCAAGGCAGAGTGGAACAGATGAAATCCGTTAGCGATCGGGTGAACATTGATCAACGAGTGTAACTATAATATTAAGCCTAGGCCTACCCTCAACTCTACAATTAACACGAAATCAAATTCTGTCCCTAATCTTAACTCTTAGGTCAACCCTCATTGCAATCTTAAACCTAATTTCGGTAAGGAACTATCGTGGGATCCCCACAGTGCTTGCGAAGCACGCTTCACTCCAATACGCGCACCTGGTTTTAGGAGGTAGAACGGGTGGGACATACTGGGGAACAAATCAGAGCGCAATAATCATGTAAATTAAGTGAGGCATGTATGTTGGAGGTTGTTCGCTGACCTTGGGCGAAGTCACTGAGGAACATTTTAATACCATCACTTACCCCTACTGGACCAACGGCGAGCGCGGGTATGTTGGGGGTGTCCGCTGACTTTGGACGAGGTCACTGAGGTACATTTTTAATAGCATCACTAAAACCCAACTATATTAACGGCGGGCAAGCGAGAAATTGACATATTGTGTAAATTCACCTACTTAAAATTTGTAAATAAGGGTTATTCTCATGGTCATTTTGAAGAGTCCATTTACATAATAAGCTGACTTAAGCGGTTATTGTAAATGTTGGCCTTCCGAGGACCCGTAAACAGTTCAATATCATCACCAATCTCCACTGAACCAACGGCCGCCGCGTGAAAAATTGGAAGATTGTGGAAATTCACCCCTACTTAAAATTCGTAAGTAAGCGGTTATTGCACATGCTAGCTTTCCAAGCACCCCTCTATAGTTCCCTGCACTAATTTCCTTGGCATTTGTCGCAAAGCCACATATATTGTGGGCGGTTCTTGTTTAAGCAACCATACCAGTCACCCTAACCAAGCAACCTTCGTAAAGAACAAAATAAGGAAACAGTATGAAACGCTGGAAAGACACCAAGTAAGTAGAGGTGGACACAAACAACAAGGCGGTTCTCACCCTTGAGGATGCATCGAATTCTGTGGCCACTGACGAATTTCACAGGCAAAGCGAATATTAGATGCCTTAGAGGGATCTTGCCACAAATCTGGTCGAGGGAGAAAAAAAAAGCAACGATACGGTCAGTGATTGCCAAAAAGGTCATTCGAGAGAGAGGGAACTGCATGTCAATTTTATCAACCCACCCTCTGGGACAGAAGAGGTGGCTAGCTTAACCTTCGGCTGATAGGATCGTTCGGGGATCAAGTAACAGACGCGACAGGGATGCGTCGTGCCGTTGCTTTTGGACAGAGCATTAGGCACCATAATGTAATCAGAGGACTCCACATCGGAGTCCAGAAAGGCTGAGGGCATGGGACTGGCCGGCTCGAAGGACAGGTAGCCAATAGCGCGACGG